TTCCTGCATTGAGATGCTCCCAGACCAAGGAAAGACTGATGCATCAAAAGGACCTTCCTCAAGAGCTGACAGAGAGAGAAAGCCTTCTTCTGGAGCTGATGCCCTGAATTTGGACTTGTAGCCTACTGGACTGTGAGAGAATAAATTTCTCTTTGTTAAAACCATCCATTCGTGGTATTTCTGTTGGAGCAGCACTAGATGACTAAAACATGTGTTGATACTTTTATCAATATGAAATGTCCCTCTTTACCTCTAGTAATTATCCTTGTCTTCAAGTCTATTTTGTCTGATATTAATAGAGTCACTCCAGTTTTCCTATGCTGCTGGCATAGTATATATTTTTTAATCCTCTTGCTTTCAATTTGTGTCTTTGTATTTAAAGTGCTTCCCTCATAGACACATATGGTTGGGTCTTATCATAAATTAATTATAGTTAATATGGTACTATTTAATGTAAAATATAGAAATCTTCCAATGTCATAGTTCCATGAACTCCTCTATTCTTTGTACTATGTTGTAATATGTATTACATCTGTTGTTGTGTGCCATCAACTTGATTCTGACTTATAGCACCCCTATATGACATAGTAGAACTGCCTCACATGGTTTCCTAGTCTGTAATCTTTAAGGGAGCAGACCACCAGATCTTTTCTCCCATGGGGCAGCTGGTGGGTTCAAACCACCGACCTTTCAGTTAACAGCTGAGCGTTTAACCATTGTGCCACCAGGGCTCCTTCTATTGCATCTGCATATGTTATAAACTCCAAGATAAAGTAGTATTATTTTTGCTTTAAACAGTTATATGTATTTTTTAAATTAGAAGAAAAAAATATAGTCTTTTATATTACCTACATATTTATCATTTCCAGTGCTTATTACTCCTAACCATAGATTCAAGTTACTATCTCGTGTACTTTCCCATTAGCCTGAATCTTCAAAATTTCTTGTAGTGTATATTTGCTGATGATTAGTCCAGGTTTTCTTTATTTGAATGTCTTTTTTCACCTTCATTTTTGGAGGAAAGTTTTGCTAGATGTGGAATTCTGGGTTGATAGGTTTTCTCTTTTAGCACTTGTAAAGACATTCCATTGTCTCCTGATATCCATTGCTTAGGATGAAAAGTTAGCTGTAATTCATATTGTTGTATTTTGGTTGTAATATGCCAATTTTCTCTTGCTGATTTCGAGTTTATCTTTGGAATTCAGCTGTTCAACTATTCTGTTGGAATTCATTGAGCATTTTGGTTCTGTAAGTTTATTTTTTTACAAAATTGGGGGAGCTTGGGGTTATTATTTCTTAAATATTTTTTGGCAACTATCTATTTTTCATCTTCTTATTGGAATCCATTTACATCAATGTTAGACTGCTTGATATTGGCCACAAGACTCTGAGCCTCTGTACATTTTCTGTTAATCTTTTTCTTCCATTTTTCAGATTAGATATCTTCTATTGATCTGTCTTCAAATTCACTTACTCTTTCTTCTGTCATTTCCAATCTGCTGTTATGTCCCTCTAGTGAATTTTTCATTTTGATTGTTTTCTTTTTCAGCTCTAGAATTTCCATTTGTCATTTTTTAATAGTTTTTATTTATCTACTGAGACTCTCCCATCTGTTCATTGAGTATGAGTAAAGTAAGTCTTTTTCCTTTAAGTCCTTGAATATATTTATAATAGCTGCTTTAAGAACTTGTCTGTTAATTGCAACATCTGGATTATCTCAGAGCTGATTTCTATTGACTTCTTATATCTTCATTATGGGTCATATCTTCCTGTTTTTGTTTTTGTCTGTTTAATGACTATATTTTATACTGGACATTTGGATGATACATTACAGAGTCCCTGGATTCTGTTACACTTCTCTGAAGAGTGTTGATCTTTGTTCTAGCAGGAAGTTAATTTGCCTGGACTCTTCAAACTATCTCCTCTGCAATGAGCAGCAGCTGAAGTCTTTTCTGAGTTTTTTTTTTTTTTTTTTTTTTTTTGGTTTCAGGTAGGATTTTCTTTTTCTTTTTGCCAGACTCACTAGAGTCTTCTCCCATATAGCTTAGCAGTCAGCCAAGGACTTGGGTAGAGTTTATACACAGATTTTGTGGTTAACCCCTTCTGCATCTCCCGCCCTTTTATGATTTTACTCATAACTTTCCAGCTGCTCTGCCAGCACTAAACTCTGCCTTCTGACATCTTAGGGCATGTGGATTTTCAGCTCTAGAATTTCATTCGATTATAAATTTTTTTTTATTGTGTGATTTTTGTTTTAGTAAATACTAGTATTCTGATAAAATTATCCATATTTTCCTCTGTTTTCTTATCATATTAATCATAATTATTTTAAAGTACCTATCTTATAACTTCAGTATCTGGATCATTTGTGGGTCTGTTTCTGTTGCCTATTTTTTCTCTTGTATATCTGGCCATGTTTGTTTCCTGATACACATATTAATTTTTTGTTGAATAAAAAAAAAATTATGAAAAATTGTAAAGGCTCTCAGAAAGGATTTAATTGTCTTCTAGTAGGCAGGTGAAATACAAATCAATCAGTTCGCTCTAGTTGAAACTGGGTTTCAGCATTTGTGAGGACTGTTCTATTTTGGTTTGTACTTACTCCTAGAATGTAATTCTGATGCTTAGGGTGTAGCCTGTCAGAGCTCTCAACTAAAAGCCTGGAATATTTACCAGGAAACCTCTAATTTCCATATCCTAAACTTCAACTTCTGTCTCTTAGCACCACAAGACATCAGAATCTCTGCTTAGTTCACTGACCTCTAAGAAGTTGCTTCCCACTTAGATTTTTGGCATCTCACCCGGAACACATGTAGCTTAGAAAAACCCAAAAAACCAAACCCATTGCCATCAAGTAGATTCCGACTCATAGTGACCCTTAAGGACAGAGTAGAACTGACCCACAGGGTTTCCAAGGAGTGGCTGGTGGATTCAAACTGCTGAACTTTCAGTTAGTGGCTGAACTCTTAACCACTGCACCAAGTGTAGCTTAGCAGTAGACAAATGCTCCAGCAAGAAACTGTACAAAGACTTTTGGACTGTACGCTCTGTAATTCCTTCTTCACTGGAATATGGCTCTTCAAGTCCCTGCCACCTGGACAGTCCCAAAGTCCAAACCCGTTGCCCAAGCTCAGTGAGACTGTGGAAAGTCCAGGCCTCTGATTTTTCCTCAGCTTCAATCATCCTACTCTGCTAATAGGCAAATGACCCAAGGGGGAAAAACTGACATGAATGTGGGACTCATCTCAATGTCATTCTCCCTGGGATTTTGACCCCTCATGTGTTTTCTACCTTGACTTCAAAACAGCTTTTAATAATTTTCTAGCTTTAATAATTATTTTTGGTGGGAGGGTTACATCAATACTATCTACTTCATCACAGTCAGAAATAAAAGCCCTCTTTCCTAATTGTTTTTAGAGAAAATTATTGCTAATTTGTATAACTGAGAGTACTCGGTACATAGGCAATGATGAAAAAATATTTTCAATGATCTTGTGAAAGAAATGAACCAAAAATACCAGCTTCGCATGGGGTAGTCATGGACATAAGCCATCATAGCCATCATGTTGTTGTTCTTAGGTGCCATAGGGTCAGCTCCGATTCACAGAGACCCTGTGTACAACTGAACAAAACATTGCTCAGTCCTGCACCGTCCTCACAATCATTGCTATGTTTGAGCCCACTGTTGCAGCCACTGTGTCAATCCATCTCATTGGGGGGTTTCCCTCTTTTTAGCTGACCCTCTACTTTCCCAAGCATGATGTCTTTTTCTAGGGACTGGTCCTTCCTGATAACAGTCCAAAGGAAGTGAGAATGAAATCTTGCCATCTTAGATTCTAAGGAGCATTCTGGCTGTTCTTCCCCCAAGACAAATTTGTTCTTTCTTCTGGCAGTCCGTGGTATATTCAATATTCTTAGCCAATACCACAGTTTGAATGTGTCAATTCTTCTTTGGTCTTCCTTTTTCATTGTCCAACTTTCAGATGCATATGAGACGACTGAGAATACATGGCTTGTGTCAGGTACACCCTAGTTATCAAAGTGACATCTTTGCTTTGTAATACTTTAAACAGGTCTTTTGCAGCAGACAATCGTAAGCAGTACTAATTGGTTTCCACATCAACTGTCTCAGCAAAAAAGTTAATTTGGTAATAAAACTAAGAATCAGTTTCACCTTTAGTCTGTTCAATACCAAAAAATTCTGGAAGGAGGCAGTAAGAATTTTTTGTCATTTATTGATCTTACTAGCATCAAGGTAAATTTATTTAACCCTAACATGGCAGCTTCCATTATTTGTATTTATATGGCACTTTTGATCTGAGTTCAAGGTAGTTTAAAAATTTTATATTAAAAGTTTGATATTTATATGAGTTGGTAAACATTATTATACATAAGAATCAATAAAACTACTACTTAGTTTTTGAAGAAATCATGAGCAAACAAATTACCCTTTTACTAATTAACTTTAAAGAAGAAACAGCCTAACCTGGAATTTCAGCTGGCTTTTTCCTTTGTCATCTAGTCTATAAAATATTGTAACCCTCTTAATGTATTATAAACGTAGAAAAAGGAAAAAAATCCTCCCCTTTTTTGTAATTGGTACACAGAACTTTAAAAAAAGGTGTGTATATATACATACACATATACATGATAACTTTTTCATATAGTGTCTTAATAACTAACCTGAATATCAGACAGAAGGCTCTTAGTTAATACTAGTTCCTTCTAATTTGGTCTGCACCTAAATTGCTCAGAACTTGTGGTAATGCATTCAACCAAGCACTTGTAACCCATGGTGATGAATTGTCTATTAGCCCTTTAATAAAATCAAATAATAAAATTAGCCCAACTGAGAAGTACCGCTCTGGCATGTACATTTCAATATTACCTGATAGAAAGTTAAAGGAGGGACCAAAAAAAGGAGACAGGAATCAGAGAAGAGAAAAAGAAGAATGCTCCAAAAAAGTTGTTTTATTATCATTATTTTTACTTAGACTCACCCCATGTGGTTAAGGGCTGGAGGTCTTCATCATCCACCTGAACCATGCAGGATGGTGTTGGCTTCTGAGGGTCCTTGTTGATTACAATCTCCTTTACGGGGTCAAATGTTTTGAATGAGGGAGAGACATAGAGTGTCTCTACAGAGGCCTGGTTATAAAAACTAGAATCTAACTTTGATATTCTTAAATTGGGGCTTATGAACTCTTCTTTACTTGATGACCGAAATGCTGGTAAAGTTGTCAATGCTTCAAAACTTTTTGCAGCTGACTGCTTTTCTAGAGGCATTTGCAAGGTGTTTTCTAGGACAGTATTTGTAATAGTACTGTCTGATTTCTTGTCCAAACTCACATTTGTCCGCAGAGATGGGCTTTTTTTCGAGGGAGTGGGTATAGCATCTGTAAAATAACAAGGAAGAACTATAATAAAAAATAAAACTAAAATACTCTATTTCAAATCCACTGCAATTTTAATAAATAAGATTTTTTAAATTCTATTACAGGATTTTCCCCTATCTAGTCATTTCTATTTTCTTACTATGTTTCTCTTCTGCCTATTTAAAGTATACCCAAGCTATAATTGATATATTAGTCATTTGGTGGCTGCCTTCTCCCTCTTGCATCACTGAAGCACAAGGCAAGGAAAACTTCAAATAACTTGTCTTTAAATATTTCTCTTTTCACCCACTTATCTGTCTCTGAAACCACTGTATTTTTAACATTTTCAAACTTACATCTTTTACAAGATTAACTAGAGAAAATATGTCACATCATACTGGTCTATCCTTACAGAACTCCCAGCTACAGAAAGGCCTTTCTCCCCTGAAATAAAGGATATCTTCTTGCCCTCAGTGTCTATATAAGGCACGTTAAAGAAAATCACTACTTTAGGTAGCAGCATAATTTTAATAAATCCTTTGTCTATGTGGGAGAAAAGGAACCATTTTTCAGAGCTGTCTGACAATTACTAAAATGTAAGTTCCATCAGGTCAGGGATCTTTCTCCATTTTATTCATGAATATTGCCAAAGTTCCTAGTACAGTGCCTAGAATACCTAAGACAAGCAGTATTTATTACAAATAGAAGGAAACTGAAAGAATTTTAAGGAACTGAAATTTAAGGTTGGCCTGATCCAGGAATAGCTGTTGGATCTATGAATTGGGGGCCTGGTTGAAATTTTTAAATACACATTGTTATCAAAACTCTAAATGCTAGGGATTGCTCTTAATGAATTTGGATATGGAAAGAAAGAAAAAATATTTTTAAGAGACAGAGTCCATAAAATTAGAAGCGTAACTAGGCAAGAGAGGGCAAAGGAAGATTTTATCATTTGAAGCTCCCCAAAGGGAAGAGGAGGAATGAATTGTGTAACTCGCTATCAAGTGTTTATATATTAGAATGTACCTCGTAGCGACCTCATAATGGACATTTATGTGCTATCATCACTGTTTTCAGATTCTGAGTTATTAAAGAAAAGCAAATTTTTTTTTGACAGTAAGAATCTTCCTTTCCGTTTTCATTCATAGTTGTACACTAGTCTGGGCCAAAAAGCTGCTGGTATACCACAGAATTAGACAATTCAAGAAACTTATATTGCTACCTTCAGGAATTTCATTTTTTCCAACCCTCTCATCCCCAAACTTTCTCATCTTTTAAATCTCAATTCAAGTATTACTTTCTCCATAAAGCTTTCCCTGACCCTTTTCTCTCCTCACCCTATCCTATTGTCTAATATACCATATTGTTTATAAGACTTTATCTCATTTATTACAAGTCTGGCCCCCTACTTGATAATAGGCTCTGCAAGAGTAGTCCCTTATTATGAATTATCTTTGTATTCCAGCACCTAGAATAATGTCATTCTCATATAATATAATCAATAAATACTTGTTGAATGAAAGGATAAAGAAAAACAAATGCCTTTGTTTTTCTAAATCGAACATGTTTAGCTATTTAACAATGCTTAAAAGGAAGAGAAAATTGTTAGAGGAAAATAACCAGTTGCTATGAGTTGCTATGGAGCCCTGGTTGGTGGTGCAGTGGTTAAGAATTTGGTTGCCAACCAAAAGGTCGGCAGTTTGAGTCCACAAAATGCTCCTTGGAAACCCTATGGGGCAGTTCTACTCTGTTCTATAGGGTCGCTATGAGTCAGAATCGACTCGATGGCAACGAGCTTGGTTTTTGGTATGAGTTGCTATGAGTCACTTTGAGTACTAAGGTGTGCCTGACCCAAGCCATGGTATTTTCAGTCACCTCTTATGCATGTGAAAGTTGGGCAATGAATAAGGAAGACCGAAAAAGAATTGATGCCTTTGAATTGTGTTGCTGGCGAAGAATATTGAGTATACCATGGACTGCCAGAAGAACAAACAAATCTATCTTGTGAGATGTACAGCCAGAATGCTCCTTAGAAGGGAGGATGACAAGACGTCTTACATACTTTGGACATGTTATCAAGAGGGACGAGTCCCTGGAGAGAGACATCATGCTTGGTAAAGTAGATGGTTTAGGGTATTCCAAACAAAATGCATGTGTACATTACTGTATTTACATAAAAGCATTCCTTAAAACTGAATTTCAAAGATTTTTCCATTGACTTTCACTATACATGTGGGAAAACAGAAAAAAGTCTTGTTCTAGATGAAATAAAATCATCTCAAAATTTAGCAATGTGTAAACTAAGATAAAGAATGACAGTGACTTTCTAGTGAAAATATTCATAGTGCTCATCTACATCTCAAAATTGGGATATATAAAGTTATTGATATAGCTATTATTTTAATGCCTAGTACAAAAGTTTAAAATTACAAAAGAAACAAAAAACTTTAATATTCAATGAAGTGAACCAGACTGAGGTCATTCTGTTTCTATCAACCCCCTTTCCCAGTAGTCCAGGAAGAGAAGAATGTGATCTTCTGGTTGTTTAACATTTAAAAAAAAAAACTGGTAACTTTTTAAATAAATAAAATATGATGATCTAAAAGAGAAAGTATGATGACACATCAAAATTAATGATTAAAATGAATAGTAAACTATTTAAAGGAAAAAATATCTCTTAAACAGAAAGCTAAGGAGGCCTGAAGTTTCTAGAAAGCAAATTGTACTGGGTTTCTCTTCCATCAGACTTGCTCCACCCCTGCTCATTCTGTGCAACATGCCAAACCAATCCTCTTCAATTCAATCGCCAGTTTATTGGTCGTTTGTATTCAAAAATCCTTCAAAAACTCCCTCTTATTTCAAGGACAAAGTCTAAATTCCTTGCATTTTAAAGGGTCTCCATTGCTTATTTTCTATCATTTAAAACAAAAAACCAAACCTGTTTTTTAGGCACTGTGCTTTTGCATACAGTAGGTATGCCATCAAGTCAATTCCAACTCATAGCGGTCCTAGAGGACAGACTAGAACTGCCCCACAAGGTTTCCAAGGCTATAATCTTTACAGAAGTAAACTGCCACATCTTTCTCCCATGGAGAAGCTGGTGGCTTCAAATCGCCAGCCTTTTGGTTAGCAGCCAAACACCTCAACCACTGCACCACCAGGGCTCCTTTGTCTATCTTTTCTCAACAGGAAACTAACTTTCAATCAAGCCAGTCTCTTCCTTCCTCATACACCCCATATTCATTCAGGTCCCTTTATCTTCATTGTCCATGTTCATTCAGGTCTCTTTATCTTTATTGCCATTGATTTCTCACCCCGCACTCCAACAAGGAACATCCTGTACACTTCTCTGCCTGTTTAAATCCTACCAATTCCTCAAGGCCCATATCAAATAATTACCACTTCTGGAAGCTATTTCCAGTCATTCCTATCGATCCAGCCTAATCCTCCTCTTCTCTGAAATCATATTGTACTCATTTCTGCACACGCATGTTTTTACCTAATTATACGTTGTACAGTGCCTGTCACACACCACATTAAATTACTGCATTCTAACTTTATAGCCTCCACTGTGCCTTTGCATAGAGTAGATATGCAAACATTTGTTAAATTTAATAGTTTCTGAATTTATAAATTATATAATATAAATTTTATATGTTGATTTTGTGTACAACAATGTATACTGTAGACATGTAAAGGCTAAAAGTGAAAACGATCCATCAGCAAATACTTGTTGAGTACCTACTGTTTGCAATGGACTGTATTAGACTCTCTAGATATATATAAGTGGAAGTCAAAGAACTTAAGATCAAGTGTGTTATATATATACATATATGTGTATATATGTATATATATGTGCACATACATGCATACATATACTTGCATACAAATATGTACATAAATACACATATATATGTTCACCATATACATATATATACTCAACTATATGTATGATAAACATATACAAATAAGTAATAATACAAGCTACCAGTTTAATTTCACAATGTCTAGAGACTGTAGTTTCTTAATAAATGACTTTGTGAATGAATAAAAAAAATCAACGGGAAGAATGTATCTGCAGAGTTCCGGCAAAATGGCGCTCTAGGCAGAAGCACCATGCCGTCCCTCCACAGCAAAG